TAAAACAAGTACAGAGACGAGTCCTTTGTCTGAAGCAATCAAAAGATCATTTGTAATTTTAACTAGTGCTGTCTCAGTGCTATGATGCACTCTAAATCCTGACTGAAATTCCTCAAATAAATTATTATCATGGAGAAAATCACACAGCTGGTCTGCGACTACTTTCTCATGGATCTTTGAAAGAAAGGGAAGATTAGATATTGGTCTATAGCTGGCTAACACCTCTGGATCCAGGGTGGGCTTTTTTAGTAGAGGTTTAATTACAGCTACCTTAAAAGACTGTGGTACATAGCCTGTTAATAAGGATATATTGATCATATCTAATATATGAGTGTTAACTAAAGGTAAGACTTCCTTAAGTAGCCTAGTTGGGATGGGGTCTAAGAGACACGATGATTTAGATGAAGAAATCACTGCGGCCAATTCTTGAAGAGAAATCGGGGAGAAGCAATCTAAATATATATTAGGTCTTACAGCTGTGTTTGAGGGTAGATAGGTACTGTCTGAGGATAGGGGGTCATGAATTTTGCCTCTAACAGTTAGAATTTTTGTCATTAAAAAAGCTCATAAAATCATTACTGCTAAGGGATAAAGGAATACAAGGCACAATAGAGCTATGACTCTCAGTCAACCTGGCTACAGTGCTGAAAAGAAACCTGGGGTTATTATTATTTTCTTCTATTAAAGCTGAGTAATAGTTTGCTCTGATATTGCGGAGGCCCCTCTTATACGTTTTGAGACTGTCTGCCCAGACTAAACGAGATTCTTCCTGTTTGGTTAATCGCCAGTTCCTTTCAAATGTTAGCGATATTTGTTTTAACTTACAACTTATGCTTCTTCTGCTGCTTCTTCTGCTTCTGCTTCTTCTGCTGCTTCTTCCTCAAAATAAATTGCTCATATGGGGGGCTTAGCACACTCAAAAACTCATGAAACTTTGCCTTGAAGATTTTTGTCAAACTGTGTGGCAAGGCGTCAAATTTTGGTGTACCACCACAAAACAGGAAGAACTTTATAACTCCTGCATACATTGTCCAATCTTTCCCAAATTTCACAGGATTGATGACAGTCCTGCCCTAAACACATCTATGCCAATATTTGATATTACACATAGCGCTACCTATTGGCAACAGAAAGTGCATCTTTTCAGACATTTATCTTTTGATTTATGTGAAATTTAATATTTAATACACAAAAACATGACTTATCATAAGTGCATTCTCCAGGGTCAGCATTGAAGGGTGTGTGCATGGCTCGGCATCAGGTTTTAATGTCTCGCCTTGAAAAACAAAATTGCTATAACTTCAGAGTAAATGGTCCAATCTGCACCACACTTAACAAGTTTGATAATAGTCCCACCTGGAACACGTCCATATGAAAATATTCAGTCATACATATAGTGCCATCTACTGGCAACACTAAGTACATCTTTTCAGACATTTATCTTTTTATGTACCTGGAATTTACATGCTGTGGTCTATATTTGATGCACAAAAACACGACATATTATTATGCGTTCTCCAGCACCCTCTCGTGGAAAACAGGATGTAGTACAAATTGTAAAATAGGTCATTTCAGCATCTCAGTCCTGCATGCGGTGTCAACTGCGGCTTCATCCAGCATCCTGCCAGCACCCCCGAGTTGCGCGAAGGTGCAAGGGCCCGTTATGATAAAATGAAAAAATTAACCCCAGAAGTGCCAAAACGGACTCTCTAGCGCCACCTAGGCACACTAAAATGGCTGCTGCGGCCCGTAGGAATGTCATAGAAAACTAGCTTGTTCTTCTCATTGAGACCTACAAATCACACACTGACACCCCTGACCTAAACCCAACAGGAAGTGAGCTATTTGCCCTTTCAAAGTAAGATTTTGCCTCAAAATGCTCTTTTTTCAAAAATGATCTTCTCCTAGACTGTTTATTGTATCGGCTTCAAGCACGCACACATGTCAGGCCAACTCCTGCTAAACAGATTTTCTTCATAACTTTGTAATTACTTAAACGGTTTGGATTTTATGGCCTCTTCAAGGTGACATGTCACAAAACCTGACAATCTTCGCGCCACCTAGACGCACTAAAATAGCCACTGCTGCCCGTAGGAATGTCGTAGAAAGACTGAACCAAATCGGGCTTGTTTGTCTCATCAAGACCTACAAATCGCATACTGACACCCCTGACCTAAATCCAACAGGAAGTGTGCTATTTGCCCTTTCAGAGTAACTTGTTGTTTTTCAAAAATTCTCTTTCTCAAAAAATATTTCCTCCTACACCGTTTATCGTATCGGCTTCAAACTCGCACACATAACAGCTCAAGCCCTGCTGAACAGACTGTCCGAACAACTTTGTCATTTCTCGAACGGTTTGGATTTTATGGCCTCTTAAAGGTGACGTGCCAGAAAACCTCCTGAATGCCTTCGTGCCACCTAGACACACTAAATGGCCCACCGTTTCACATATCAGCTTCAAACTCATACACATCACAGGCCAACCCCTGCTGAACAGATCCTCTGAAGAACTTTGTCAGTACTGGAACGGTTTAGATTTTATGGCCTCTGACAGGTGAGGTGCCACAAAACCTCCTAACGATCTTCGCGCCACCTAGACACACTAAAATGGCCACTGCGGCCCGTAGGAATGTAGTAGAAAGATAAAACCAAAACTGGCTTGTTCATCTCTTCAAGACCTACAAATCAGGCACTGGCACCAATGACCTAATTCAAACAGGAAGTGAGCTAGTGCCTCTGAAAGTAACATCTGACATCTGAAACTTGCAAGCAAGATCGCATTTTTTTGACTCCACAAACATAAAAACCTATATGCCTGTGTTCGGGACAAGTTTATCTCTCTGTTGGCATGTTCAGATTGACGATTAGACCCACGGTTTGGGAATAAAAGAGAGGAGTTTGAGACATTTCAAAGCCACCTCCATCTGCCTGCTCTCACACAGCTTCTCTCTCTCTCTCTCTCTCTCTCTCTCTGTGACGGACTCAGGATGTTTGAAGGGCAGGGGCACAAGGAAAAAAAGGGCACCTACTGCATGACATGGGGCCCCATTGGTGCGCAAAAACAAACAAACAATTGACCCCCTAAACATGTCAAAAACTCACCAAAATTGGCAAGCATGTCAGGACTGGCGAAAAATTTGATAAAATGAAAAAAATAACCCCAAAAGTGCCAAAATGGGCTCTCTAGTGCCACCTACACACACAAAAATGTCCACTGCGGCCAGTAGGAATATCGTAGAAAGATTAAACCAAAACTGGCTTGTTCGTATCATCAAGACACACTGACATCCCTTATCTAAATCCAACAGGAGGAGAGTTAGTGCCTCTGAAAATAACATGAGCAATGGAGAAATTGTCAGCTGTATAGTAGGGCTGTACCCAAATATTCGGATATTCGAATATTCGTTGTTGTTATGAAAATTTGGTATACGATATTCGTTTTTTTATTTACTTTTTTTTTAACATATTTGTTTGGTGCTAAATGTAGTCTTTTTTGTTGTTGGTAAATGTAGGTTATCAATAAAAATCAAAACTTTTAAATGGCATTGTTAAAAATGTGAAAATATAGTATCCTACCAACTGAGCTTGTGGGCACGGCACGCTTGAGCGCATCCGTCTGAGGCTGTGGATCAGTGCCAAGTTTTACCACTTTATCACTGTTCCCTCTAACTTGTAGATGTTTTTCATTATCTTTTGAATTTAATATGAATTATGGAACCGTTTTTGTCAACGTTTGTTTCAACAAGTTTCTTTTGGAGTGTGTGACACAAGTGTGTTTTGAAAACGACCGCGGACTGTCACCTGCTCAATGCATCAGTATCTTCGGATGCCATGACAGTAATAGCCAATAATGTCAAAATATCATTTACAGACCGATTTAACAGACGATCACTGCTCGACCCGCAGGTCCATTTGCGGGTCCCGCGGGTTACGGGTCTACCCGCGCGTCACTACTCAGCTCAGTCTATAAATGCTGTACACAACAGTAAGGCTATAGACATTATATTCTATTCAGGCTGGCAGAACCAGCAGTTCTGTTGTACATTTCAGTTGTACATAGTGTGACGTATTTACCGTCATCAAGTCTGCAAGGGCAGAGACTGCAAGTGGCTGATAGACACCCCTCGACTGTTGTACTTGTTGCCGTGGAAATGTTCAACTGTTGCTGCTGTCATATTCATATATGTCATATAAGTTGATGAGTAGTGCCTATTAATCTGTTCCTGCAGATAATAAGATATAAATCCCTTGTATAGCCTTTTTTTGTGACTGAACAACAATGTATTTTACATCTCTGTAGAACATACAGGCTATACAAGGACAGGACTAAAACCCAATAAATTAGGCATGTACTTACATTAGAAGACCTTTTTTTGTTTTTCAGACTTTTTTTTTTCTTAGTCCTTCTACAACCTATACTTATACATATCTCTGTATCATGATGTGGTTGAATATTATTTCTGGCCTACAAAATTCAAGTAACATTTTAATAGGCCTAACTGTCAATAACTATTTTACACAATTATACATTTTTTTAGACAATTCAAAAACCCACATCAACACATCTGTATTGCAATGAATTGTGGGTTAGTAAATGAGTGAAGTCTGCTGAAGTCTGCACCCCAAGCGGAATCTCTGGAAGTCTGCAGAAAGTCTGCTTGAGGCCCCTTGTGGACCGGTTGAATTGTGGATTTGGACAGCCCTCAGCACTCCTGGACCTCCAGTGAACATGCCTGTAAAGTCCGCGAGTCTGCAAGTGCAGTGAAGTCCGCACGTTTTTGATTCAGCCACAGCCCACTGTCAGGGGGGATCAAAGGGTACAGATGACCCCACCCCAAGGCCAAGGGATGGCTCATGAAAAGGTCTATAGTTGACCTTTAAACTGGATCAAGTACAACAATTTACTCACTGACTTACATAACTGGTTCTCTGGTTGGTTCAGTCCATCTGACAGATAAGGTTAGGTGTGCAATGGGCAGAAATCGCAAGTGCTGGTAATGTAAACATATGAGGCGGACTGCAGCCTGATTAGCAACCTCAGAATGCCATACCAAAAATCAGGGACCACTAAAGTAAAGTGACAAAGGAGTACAGAGAGAACAAGACAATGACAGGAGCAGAGAGGCGATGGACAAATGTCTGCGGGAAAAAAAAGACAATGACACACTCCATATCTTCAGGGGTGGGAATCTCCCTATAGGCCCACCCATCTTTGACGAAAGTGGGACACCCTCCACCATTTTGATTGTTAGGTCTGTCCTGTCTTGTAACACTGTAAATGAGATCATAACTAAGTTCTACTTCTAATTAATGTATATACCTCTTGAACTCATGGACTTTGGCTCTGAGGATCCTCGCATTTTGTACGTCATTTCTGTCAGCTCCATTAGCAGCTAGCAGTGCATCTGATCTGCTTTTACATCTTTTTCCTGCTGCCTCCACTATAGTCTAGATTCTATCGCTTCTCTTTTTCAGCTGAGAAGCAACATTAAAGGTCTGCGCAGATGAAGACTATTAAGTTCACTTTATTTACTACTACTGTGTCATTGAGCGCGTTTACATGCACACTACTAAACCAATCATTATCTGATTTCTGGAGTTACCTGATTATTCAAGTGGTCATGTAAACAGCATAATCCAATAGGCTTTATCAGATAAAAGCCATTATCTGATTATCAGATAAACACACCTATCTTTTTCCCCAATGGTCAGATTATTCGGTGCATGTATACCCTTTAATCTGGTTTCTTTCGGGTTTTGCTATTTTATACTCCCACTCCACTACATTTTAGAGGGAAATATTGTACTTTCTACTCCACTACGTTAATCTGACAGTTTTTGTTTACTTTCAGATAAAGATTTTACATAAAATAATATATTTTTATATTCTCAGTGTTTAAATTGTCACTTTTATTTTATCTTACTTATATGTTATGCACTTTGTGTGACAAGTGTATATACAATACACTTGTATAATGCACTTTGCAGTACTTTTACTCCGAATCTACCCAAAGTATGTAAAATTGGCTCCACACTGATAAACTACACATTAGAATGCTCTCACATGTATTTGTTAATGATAAAAACAAACAGTACTGTAAGAATATAAGCCGTCAGCATGGTGAGTGCTTTATTTTGCAAATATATGACTTGCGTACTTTTCGAGGTTTTTCAAGGATATGAGTACCTACTGTAACAGGAAGTTTGAGTTTTATGTCATGTACTTGAGGAGAAATCCAACTGAAGGACTGATAATCAAAAAAAAACACGTTTTTCTGATTATCAGATTATTGAAGTGCACGTAAACGCGTCAAATCGGATTATTACCAATACCTGATTATTCCCAGTTATCTGATTATTGTGTGCATGTAACCGTGCTCGTGTCAACTTTACATTTATTGTATGTGCACAAACATTTTGCACAGATTTGTCAGTTTGGGCCTGATTTTCTGATGTGTTACTCTTTCTTTGTACATGATTTCTTCGGGCCACCACAATAGGACATGTATTGTTTGTTCCTGCCTCCCTTTACATTCTTTAGTGTCTCTGTGTTATGACACTTTGATCATTATCTTAACTCTCTGGACTTCTCTAGCTTCTCTCTGAACTATACAGCTTCCAAATGCAGCACTGTTTTCTCCACTGTTACAACACTTATTCTTTTTCCACATCTTAACTTTGCTTTACACTGCTGTGCTGTGTGCCCCATTCTTGGGCATGTATAACATCTGAGAAGTTTGGGAATGTATTCCCTCACTTTGTGATTCATGCAACATTTGGACTGATTTAGGGAACATTTTCTCAAACTGAACTATTACTGACAGGGTTTCCTTTAAAGTGCCATCTCTTTTGCTCTTAATCCTTCAGGCCTCCACTACTTTTCCTCCTTGAACCTCCTCTTTATTTTCATTCACGTGCTTAGTGGGATTTCAGGAATGACTTCTTTCAGGTTTGCCACTGTTCCTGGGACATGAGCTTTCATCCTTTTCCCTTTTAATGACAACATTCTGACTATCTTTTCCTGCTGTTGTTTGCTAGCTGCATGTATTAACACTCGTTTGATGTTCATAAATCTGTCAAATTTAATTTTACCAATCTCATCTTCAGATGCTCTGGTAAGTTTAATCAGGTGATAGTGCCCACCATCCTGATTGAAATCAGTCAGGATGGTGGGCACTGGTGACTGTCCACTCATTTTTCCTGTGTCCATAATTGTCTATCATTCTGACTGCTTTTCCGTTTTTGTTAACATTGGCTCTGCAGGTGGCCTCACTATCATCCATCCAACTTCTTGCTCTTGGTAGCTTTTCTCTTTCTCTCATAGCCCTCTTAAGCCTCGTTGCTCTAGATTCAATCCACTCCATTTCACTCCCAGTCTCTCCATCTGAGGTAGCTGACATGATGTTACAGAGTATAGTTTATGCTAATCCACCAAAATTAAACCCTACCATGTTTACACATCCCTCCTCCTTCCAACCAATCAGCTTGGAACAAGCAGGCGGGATAAACTATTTTGGGAAGTGCTTGTTGACATATATCGAAATTGCTAAATGGGTGGGGATGTGAGTGACAGCATACACATCACAGCTTTCAGTTTAAGTGTTTGGATATGAATCCCACTGTGAAGCTGGATGACACAGAGAGAAGTTGACTGGAAGTCTGTTTCAAAAGACAGTCAGTCAGATTTTTACTGGAGTAGAATGAGTTTAGAAATATACTTCAAAAATTGTAATGATAATTAAAATGTATATGTCTAGTAATTTTCCAGTACAAGAAATCATTCCAACATCAAGCTTTTAATAAGTGTCATAGTTTGGAGTTACACTGCATTGAGGGAGAGGTAATAGTTTCCAACAGATTTTTAATAAGTCCTCTGATAATTTAAACATAAAACAGTAGGTTTTTTTTGACATACTGTGTGAAAGTGTGAGTGTTTGTAGTCTTTATTTTTTATTAAAAGCCATAAACAGTCTAATAACTGAAACTGAAAACTACAGTCTTCCAGCTCTTCCAATGTGGCTGCCAAATAATTTGCAGGCACTGCAACAAACAAAAGTGTTTACAGGCAATGATGCTGTGAAGATACTGAACAACCTGCTTAAAGTATATTGACCACAGTCTTTCTCTTCATGTAGTATAATGATGTATTACTATATATTTAGTATATCTGATTCCACACAAAGCATTTCATTGTATTTTATTCAGTGTCCATAATCTGAACAGACTCTTCTACCACATCCAGAGAGAACGGGGTCACAGTTTTGGTCAGGACAGCTGTGGTGCCAGGCTTATACCTGTATTGCCCCTCTCTGGAAAAAAAAAAAAAGACAAACAAGGAGTGAAAAAAAGTCTGTTTTGCTTAAAGTCCTCTGTCCTGTGCTGTAAGGTTTGCAATGTACTCTGTAGGTCAAGCAGTGCTGTAGCCAGAATTTTAATATTGATACAGTAGCAGAGTTTAAAGGTAAAATCCATGCAAAAACAGTACACTGTCTCAACACTGAACAGACAGAAAACTGTTTTCTGTCAGAAAGTAAGACTGCTCACTTTTACCCATTACATTCAAAACATGCAGAACACATTAGCTGGACAGTAGCTGGGTGTCAATGAGTGGGTCTCAGGTTTACATTAATATGATATTTGTCCACACAGTTTTCTTGTTTCAGGGACGCATATACTGCAAAGCCTGAATACAGCAAACCCCGAGGTGTTATCCAACAAGCTTTGGATAAGGTTCTCTACAAACACTTATTTTGCATTTTGTTTAGAACATGTATGAAAGTTTGAATCTGCGTCCACATGATCCTGAGTTTGGGCCCAATGTTTCAAAATATTTCATTCAGATCAGAATGATCTACATTATCTGGATAGGATTAAAACTCAAAATTCGGTATTTCAAAACCAGGGCCCAGTTGTTCAAAAGGTGTAATCTGGATAAAAATGATCCGGTTTTGGCAATCCATTTTTTTTCTTCCATAGATCACGTAATCCAGTTCTCTTTTGTCCTGGTTGTTAAAAAAAGAACTGGGTAGAATCACTCTGATCCAGGTACAGACTTTTAAGGATTACCAGTACTTTAGGGGTAGCCATAATTCATACAAAGTAAAAGATCCTTAATTAATTATATTTTGTTTGATATTAACAGCCATTTTGTGGAATATTTCATTAGCAATAAATTCATTATTTTATCCACAACCATGTTAACCTCACCTACTTTGTCATGATACGGTTGTAATAATTCAGGTTGAACATATTGAAACATTTGAACATTTAAACACAAATATTGAAGAGAACAACAGGTTAACTCGATTAACTCATATCGCAGCGGTGCCTGGACAGCGTGACGTGTGTGGTTGTGCTGCTGCCGTGGTCCTGCCAGATGCCTCCTGCTGCTGCTGCCATCATTAGTCATTAGTCATACTTCTACTGTTATTATACACATATGACTATTGTCACACAAGTATACTGTCAGATATTAATACATACTTTCAACATATTGTACCACAGTAGCCAGAACTATAACTATAATATTATTACTTTCATTAATGTTGTTGTAAGCTACTGTCATTACCTGCATCTCTCTCTCTCTCTCTCTCTCTCTCTCTCTCTGTCTCATTGTGTCATATGGATTACTGTTAATTTATTATGCTGATCTGTTCTGTACGACATCTATTGCACGTCTGTCCGTCCTGGAAGAGGGATCCCTCCTCAGTTGCTCTTCCTGAGGTTTCTACCTCGGCCGAAGGTACCTTTATTCTTTCTTCCACCGCCTCTTTGAGGCAGAATTTGCCCCCCTAAACATGCTCAAAAACTCACCAAAATTGGCATGCTTGTCAGGATTGGCAAAAAAATTGATAAAATGAAAAAATTAACCCCTAAAGTGGCAAAATGGGCTCTCTAGCGCCACCTAGGCACGCTTAAATGGCCACTGTGGCCTGTAGGAATGTCGTAGAAAGATAAACACCCCTGATTTGCCCTGTCAAAGTAAGATGTCGTTTTTCAAAAATGCTCTTTTTCAAAAAATATCTCCCCCACACCATTTATCGTATTGGCTTCAAACTCGCACACATGACAGCTCACACCCTGCTGAACAAAACTTCTGAATAACTAACTCGAACGGTTTGGATTGTATAAGCGCCCAAAGGTGACATGACACAAAACCTCCTAATGATCTTCAAAAGAAAAGATGAGGGGCAACACATCTTAAACTTGCGACCAAGATCGCATTTTTGACTCCACAAACATAAAAACTATATGTCTGCGTTCGGGATGAGTATATCTCTCTGCTGGTATGCTCACATTGACAATTGGACCCACGAATTCGTCTGTATTAAGTGTATGAAAATTTATTATAACATAAATATACTACTCAATACAAATTGTAGAAATAGTGGTGTAAAAATGCAGTTTATCATTCTCTTAACTCTGTAAGTTCTAGTTTTCTTGTTTGACTACTTTTTGAGTTATTTCATTTTTCCCTTGTATTCCAGTCTGAATACAGCCCTCTGCTGGGATCAGGGTAATCCTGATATTTCAGATTGAAGTAATCCTTACCCTATTCAAATATTTGAACAACACTAACTTTGATCCAGATAAAAAACTGGATTGGATTACCTGATTTTATCCAATCACATAATCCTGTTTTTCGTTTGAACAACTGGATTTCAGGAATTGATCCTATCTGATTGAATTAATCCTGCCAGATTACTTTTGAACAACTGGGCCCAGGGTCTAATTGTTTCATCCGGTTGGATGAAATCTTGAAATTTGCATGTTCAAAAAAAATCAGTTAAGATCACATAATCCAGTCTTGTTTTAATTTGGATTTAACCTTAATTATTCCATGTGTTGTCCAAAACTCTCCAGTAGGATGGGGATACCTTTGACAACCAAAAACCAGGATAATCCTAAAGCAGAGGAGTGGGTTCAGGATGGGTTTCAGGAACAAAATGCAAAAAAAACAAACAAACAAAAAAAAAACAACTACTTTTAAATCAGTCAAATATATAAACATTTACCTATAATTTGCACTTGATTTGACTTTGTCATTATAATTAATATAAAGTGACAAATAAAAGTTAATATTAAGTATTTCTTTGTTTGATACTGACAGCTATTTGGGGGATTATTAAATGGGGCAAAATCCTTTATATGGATTTTTTTACTTACTGTGCTGAAAGGCTTAATGTAACCTAATGTCTTTATAGCTGTAATGGATCAACAAAACAAGTTCAAAATATTAGTTAGTGTATATATAATAACACGATAGAAATGTTGCATTATTTGACCAATTTAAAAGTTAAATTGCATTCTCTTTCTGAAATCCACCTACCCTGAATCTGGCCTTCAACTCGGATCAGGATGATCCGGATGTTTTGGGTCAAAGGATGCCCAATCCAACCAAAAACTTTTAATCAACACATACTGAACATTTGATCCAGATTAAACTTAAACTGGAATGCATGATCTAATATGATAACAAAACCAATTTTTGTTTTTGAACAGCTAATTTTCAAAATTTAAAACAATCTGATAGCCCAGATCCAATCAGATTATTTCTAAACAACTGGGCCCAAAGAGTGAGGTCTCCTTAAACTAGGCACACACTTTACCATTTGAACCCCTTTTTTAAAATGTTGTTTTTTAATTCCAACTTCCAATGTACAAGTAACAACCTTTTTACCTAAACAAGACGCTGACAAGCTAAAAATAGATCTTGATAATACAGATGAAGACGAAATCTGTGTTTCATTTTTGTTGATGAGACATGACAAAAATGTTAGTGGTGGACTACTGGACAATGAAAGCTGAGAACAGCCATGCTTGTAATTATCTTCAAATGCTGTGACAGGCTGGTAAACTCCAGTAAATAATCTGCACCAGGATGTTTCACTAGCCACTAAATGGCAGCGGTGCAAGCAGCCACCAGCTGGTTTGATGCTGTTTGACAGGCAGGTAGGAGGCTCCATCATCTGTGAGTGTAGCTGTGCTGTCAGTAAACAGTCTGAACTCAGATCAGTTTTCTCTGACAGAGATGAAAGTTTAGTTTTAATCACCAACTCCGTGAGAGGACAAGAGTTTAAACCTCCAGACAAACCCGTTGCAGATTAAGAAAGAATTCAGACTTTAATTAAGTTTACAATGAACCTAACAAATCCTAGTTGTCTCAGATTAGTTATTTGTAGTGTCAACGTTTTTGAGACCATGAATATAGAGATGTTGATCTTTTCAAATGATGATCAATAAGTGTAAATCCCCCCTACACCCAATAAGTATAAATCCCCGTTTATACCTGTAAAAACTGCTACAGAAATGACACTTTGTAAATGTGGAGAAATTATTTGCAGTTGTAGAAAAAATTGTCCATATGAAATTTTTATACAATCTGTCACCTTGATTGTAATTTCTGATACATGAATTAGCCTAACTGGATTAGTTTAAAGATAAAAAAATAAAAAACCATAATGACTAAAATGTCATGAATCTTCATCGACTAAAACATTTTAAAATTATTGTTGACTAAAACTAGACTAGAACTATGAAGGATAAAAATGACTAAAATGTGACTATACCTAATAAGTGTGTGTCACTGAAGAAGCCCTGCCTTCAATTCCAGCAAATCATGCACAAAGTATTGTGGGTACATCATGCCCGCTAAGGATACATGGAGGCATCCTTGAAAATTCTTTAAAGGTAGGACTTGGTCCTTGGATGAATTCAAAGCATCCTTGACATTGTAACGGTACTTAAGTGGGAGTTGATGATGTAGCCTCCTTGTAATTCAGCCATTTAAGGATATTTCTTGACTTTGAGAAGCATAAAGTATTGTCATCCTCCTTTTTCACAACACAGTATGGTGCCCACTTCCTGTTCACAAATTCTCACAGAAGTGCCAAACAGTGTACTAAAATATATTTCTGAAAACATCTTAGGCCAGTCAATACAATAACAGAATCTGGGTTCATATTTGATCAGCACTGCTTGGTTTTACTATTTGAACTAACTTGACCCACTTCTATACTTTCTGTGTCTGTGGTGGTGGAAGGAAAAATCAATGCAGCCAACCAACAGCCCTGGATCCAGCGCAAATCCGCTCAATTAAGTGAAATGCATCATCCAGTGATGAGTAAGATGGAAGAAAGTTAACTAATAATGGATAAGATGTCTTGATGTCATAGTCTGTGCCTTTCCTTCATTCCTCATATGTCAGCTGTTTTCGCCCTCGCCTTTGTTTCTTGTGGTTCCTTGTTTGTCTCTCTGTGTCTGGGTGTGGCTCATCAGTCCAGCTTCAACCCATGACGTCCATTTTTGTTTTTTTGAAAATAAAGCCACTCAAAACTGAACAGCTGTCTGGGTCTCGCTTTTAGGTCCAGTTCTCTCCATTGCATACAACACATGATCCTGGGTTTGTTTATATTCTGTTATCCTAGGGACTTTGTTTTGGAGTTTTCTGTTTGTGTTCCTTGTGTCATGTTAGTCATTCATGTTTAATCTGCTTCCTGTTTTATTTTGTAGAGTCTTTCCTCATGTGTCATGTCTGGTTTTGCTTCCTGTAGGCATTTTTATCTCAAGACTAAGCATAAATCTAAAATAGCTGCCAAAATGAACACTGCTATCAGAGGATGTAGGGTTCATAATTATGTACAGACAGACATCCCAAAGAAAGGATAGAAATCCATTTCTGTAAAAATGGGTCAGTCCAAGCTTTGATTCCCTCCCTCTCTTGGTCTCTCTCTGTCTTGCTCTCTCTTTCCCTCTCTTTCACACACACACACGCATGCACGCACGCATGCGCACACACACACACACACACACACACACACACACACACACACAAAGGTAGCAGCACCAATACTGGATTTAGGCTTTACTGTACACTGACTGAGTGAGGAAAAAGGCACTGATCTTGGAGAATCTACTTGTGGCTCTGCTTCAACTGTGCAAGACCCTGAAGGCAGCTAAACAAATTCCTCTGTATGTACGACAGTCAGCTAGAAGCAATTAATTGAGCCAGTTGTGTGGCTCAAAGATTGAGTCAGAAATGGGCTCAAATGGTGCAGTGTATGGCCAGCATTAATATGCAAATTTTATGTAAATTATGCTCTCCTTGCCCATCAAACCACTCCCTTCCATGCCATAACAGCAACCAAAGAAAAAGCTGTCTCTGAAAAATGACTGACATGAAGATACAATCTGAGAGTTTTCATCAAAAAACACCTCAGAATGGAAAAAATATCAACATGAATAAAAATGTTTTAATGCCTGAGGTTAAGTTTTCAGTGGAACTTTTTTTTTCCAGTGCCAATACTTGTTTCTTTGCCAATGTTTCCTTTTTCAGGTCCATCTTGTTTTCAATACCAAGTTTAATTTTCAATGCCAAAATCTGACTGTCGCTGTCTTCCATAGATAGCTGCCTTAGAACTCTGATAAAAGGTACATATGTAATGGCTCACCTTTTGCCCTTTGTTGTGGGCTTGTCGTAGCTTCGCAGGTACTCTACTTCCGCCTCAGTTATAACACACAAGTCCACATTGCTGCCAGAACCAAGGTCACAGAAAATCCCTGCAGCGATGGCGTCTCGTACAAGCTGCTTGGCCTCTTCCAGCTGAAAGGAAAAGATGTTTTTTAGGCAGAATATTAGAAGAGATCAGGAAAGAAGAGGACAAGATTGAGTAGGTACTGAACACTGAATAACTAGATAAGCAATCTATTATCTGGTGGCCATTTTGGAGGATGGAACAAAAATGAACAAATGAAGTTTTTTTGCAATTCAGTCTACAACTTATCCGTTCCATTGACTCACATCTTCTGTATATTACAAGACAACTATACATTGATGCAATGATTGTGATGGCGGTATTACCACCTTAAATCAGCATAACAAACTGACTATACTATATGATTCACTGCAACACAGTTTTTCTCATCATGTTTGCCTTGTGTCTACATTAAAGGGATAGTTTGGATTTTTTGAAGTGGGGCTATATGCGGTACTTATCCATAGTCAGTGTATTACAAACAGCAAGTGGTAGTTGGCACGCTACTGGTTTGGGGCCCCCTCTCGTGGCCCAATTGTTGAAAAACGCTCGCTAAAGTGCCCTCCTGGGAGCCAAAACGTACACTAAAGTGTCCTCCTGGTTGGCAAAACACACTAAACTGCCTTCTTGGGTAGAAAAAACACACTAAACTGCCCTCTTGGCTGGTTAAAACATGATAAACTGCCCTCTTGGCTGGTAAAAACGCGTGCTTAAGTGCCCTCCTGATTGCCAAAACACAACTGCTCTCTTGGGTGGAAAAACACACTAAACTCCAGAAGACTATTAGGACCAAGAAATACTATGAAACATTACTGTTGCAATGACTTTTATGTTGGGCCCTTTTTTGATCTACTGTATATTGAGCCAGAACTATATCTCACAGAACCAGTTTGGATAATCTTGTGCTAATATGGTGTTAAAATGCACTAGAATACAGGAAATGGCATCTACTTAATTGAAAATGTTCTGGAGGAGGACCCCAAGACCCCCCCAGGGTTTTATTTCTTTCTTACATCCATGTCACTGTGTGTTCTTCACAGTCCAACGTTGAATCTACACAGTTCTCGTGGATGCTGATCCTAACTACAAACTAACTTGAATAGTCTGTCTAGTTTGTCTGTTTTAAGGCTATATAATGTGCCATTTGTATAACATATAAACATGTCTAAAGTGCCCTCGAAAACACGTGGAACTTAGTGCCCTCTTCAGTGGCGAGAACGCGCTGTATATGCCCTTTTTGTTCTTTTCACCCCTGCCCTTCAAAAAGTCTGTGCATGCCACTGCACTGCGGGTCAGCTGTTTGGATCAGACTTTCCACACTTCATGGATGAGACAACTATTACATCCATCCATCCATTTTCTAACCGCTTATCCTCTTGAGGGTCGCGGGGGAGCTGGAGCCTATCCCAGCTGACATTGGGTGAGAGGCAGGGTACACCCTGGACAGGTCGCCAGACTGACACATAGAGACAGACAACCATTCACACTCACATTCACACCTACGGACAATTTAGAGTCACCAATTAACCTATTCCCAATCTGCATGTCTTCGGACTGTGCAAGGAAGCCAGAGTACCCGGAGAGAACCCACGCTGACACGGGGAAAACATGCAAGCTCTGAACAGAAGGGCTCCCACACCCGGGATCAAACCAGGAACCCTCTTGCTGTGAGGCGACAGTGCTAACCACCACACCACCGTGCTGCCCACAACTAATACAAGAAAATTTAAAAAACTGAGTGATAATGACAGCGATGAAAAAAATGCCGTTCACTTTAGAGAAAGAAAGGATACCTTTCTGAACCAGGGTATAGAGAAGAAGAAGCTGAATTAATGAATGAATCTTTATTGTCATAACACAAAATGTACAATGAAATTCTATGACTTCCTCGGTGTAAGAACATTTAGAAATGCACACGCACACTGACACACACACACACACACACACATAAAAAGTTAAGAGCAACAGCAATAAAAAAAAGGGAGACTGAACAAATTCACAGAGAGAGGGGGGAAACTCCTGCAGAAACTGGAGGCACACAAAGAAAAGAAGCTAACGTGTGAATTGTAAATGCATCCTCACAGACCCAGTGAGCTGCTGCTGCCTGAATGTGGTTACATCACAACCTCAGGATCTTTCTGAATCAAAAGATACCAGCACTTTACACTTTGCCAGCTGTTTGGTAAGTGGTTTCATTTATTTGTAGGTATTAAGCATTATTTTCCCTGATGGTTGGGTACAGCAGTGCTCTTAGTGTTTGTCTCACTTATTTGGCTGTGGTTTTAAATAATCCACTGAGAGAAGTGTTCACTACAAATGCAAAGTTCTCTGTGTTGCAGGTGGAATGCTGGGGCGGTATTCATAAAACTTCCTAGTACAAAGAGGTGCTCCTAGTAGGGCTGCAACTAACGATTATTGTCATTGTCGACTAATCTGTTGATTATTTCTTCGATTAGTCAACTAATCATTTTATCAAAAAATGTATGAAAATGTTGACAATTGTCGGTCTGTCTCTACCAAACCCCAAAATTATGGCATTTAATGTCTTGTTTCGTGCTCACGTCAAAGGGTTTTAGTTCATCGTCATAGGAGAGTGTGTAAAGCTGCCAATATTTGAACTTAAGAAGCTGCAACAAGAGTATTTTGGGGTACTTTTATAATACTTTTCTATGAAAAATTACTCAAACCGATTAGTCGATTGCTAAAATTGTCACTGATTATTTTAATAGTCGATCAGTCACCGATTAGTCGACTAATCGTTGCAGGCCTAGCTCCTAGTGACAAAATTTTAAGAAAATTCTTAGAATTATGGCGTTTTCTTAGAATTCCCTTTCCCTTTTCGGGAAAAGTTAAAACTAGTGCCTGGTAAAGATAAAAGTTATTCTCTTGCCCTTAAGGGAGCTCTTAATGTCAAAGACTGTCAGGAGTACAGAGGAGACTTCGAAGAGGGTTAAAGTTTCTTAAGCAGAGGAGAAAATGGCAGAAAGACATCAGCGTAGGCCCCGCCCATTAAGTGCAGTTGAACTTGCAAGCAAAACTTTAACTCGCAAGCAAAGAGGACTGATCTGCAAGCAAAAGTTTTTAACTCGCAAGCAAAGAGTACTGATTTATAAGCAAAATGATCATACGTTTTTACTTACAAACTTGATTTTTGATTGCAGTTCAAGAAATATGCTCTCAAAACAGTTTTATATGATTGCAACAAAAAGACACAAAAATACCTCCATATAACTATCTTTTTAAAGAAGTACTTCACTGCTGGAAAGAAGTTTTTTCATAAAACTGGCATGTCTACAACAATACTTTTGAAATTGGTTCTACATGACCAGAGAAAACAGAGAAAAGGCTGTGGTATTCACTTCAAGACTCCTTTCTAGCATTCAAGTAACACACATTGGAACAGGTTGGCGAGTGCCCAGGTGTGTGTCACTGAAGAAGCCCTGCCTTCAATTCCAGCAAATCATGCACAAAGTATTGTGGGTACATCATGCCCGCTAAGGATACATGGAGGCATCCTTGAAAATTCTTTAAAGGTAGGACTTGGTCCTTGGATGAATTCAAAGCATCCTTGACATTGTAACGGTACTTAAGTGGGAGTTGATGATGTAGCCTCCTTGTAATTCAGCCATTTAAGGATATTTCTTGACTTTGAGAAGCATAAAGTATTGTCATCCTCCTTTTTCACAACACAGTATGGTGCCCACTTCCTGTTCACAAATTCTCACAGAAGTGCCAAACAGTGTACTAAAATATATTTCTGAAAACATCTTAGGCAAGTCAATACAATAACAGAATCTGGGTTCATATTTGATCAGCACTGCTTGGTTTTACTATTTGAACTAACTTGACCCACTTCTATACTTTCTGTGTCTGTGGTGGTGGAAGGAAAAATCAATGCAGCCAACCAACAGCCCTGGATCCAGCGCAAATCAGCTCAATTAAGTGAAATGCATCATCCAGTGATGAGTAAGATGGAAGAAAGTTAACTAATAATGGATAAGATGTCTTGATGTCATAGTCTGTGCCTTTCCTTCATTCCTCATGTCAGCTGTTTTCGCCCTCGCCTTTGTTTCTTGTGGTTCCTTGTTTGTCTCTCTGTGTCTGGGTGTGGCTCATCAGTCCAGCTTCAACCCATGACATCCATTCTTGTTTTTTTGAAAATAAAGCCACTCAAAACTGAACAGCTGTCTGGGTCTCGCTTTTAGGTCCAGTTCTCTCCATTGCATACAACACATGATCCTGGGTTTGTTTATATTCTGTTATCCTAGGGACTTTGTTTTGGAGTTTTCTGTTTGTGTTCCTTGTGTCATGTTAGTCATTCATGTTTAATCTGCTTCCTGTTTTATTTTGTAGAGTCTTTCCTCATGTGTCATGTCTGGTTTTGCTTCCTGTCTTTGTGTGTTTTTCCCACCTGTTTTCTGTCGCACCTGGCTTGTTAGTCCTTCCCTGTTCCCAGAGTTTTCCCTCAACACCTGTTCTGTATTAGTCTTGTTTGCTCCACCCTAGTGTTCCCCTCCACACCCTTGTTGTCAGCCAATTTCCATTTCCCTCCTTTTGCCTGTCTTCCTAATCCAGCTGTGTCTCGCTCTTGTGATTAGTTTTCTGTGTATATTTACCTGTGTGTTTTCCGTTTGTTCTATGTCAGTTTGTCTGTGGTCATCCTGTGTTCATCCTGCTTTCATTCCTGCATTCATCCCTGCAATCATCCTGTGTTCATTCCTGCGTTAATTCTGATGCTCACTCTCGTGTTTTCGGTGTCATTCCCTGCTCCGTTTCCTGCCTGGTGTTCTGTTTGAATTTGAGTTCATGGTATTTTCCCGGATGGCCTGTACCGGATGTTTTCTATTGGCTGCATTTAAGCTCGCTTTTTGTTAAAATTTCAACCTGCCTGTTTGTCTGCATTTGGGTCCTCCTTAAACTGATACTTGACAGAACTAAGGGACCAAACATGGACCCAGCAGAGCTAACTTCAGCTGTAAACCCACTGTTGGGAACCCGCTTGGCTCTGGGGGGTCCTTGGAGCCTCTACCAGACTCCTAGGTCACACATAAAGAAGTCTTGAGTCCGT